GGGTACATGTGTAAAGGAAACAGAACTGCATTGGAAATTATGAGTCTTGGCCTCAGGCCATGGCTTTGCCCCGTACTAGCTGAGGGAACTCGAGCTTCACTTTCCTCTTCTATAAAGATGAAGGAGTTTGAAAAGTTGACATAAATGTTCCATCTTGTACTATATTATGACTGTATTAATTGTACTATATGTTATATACCTATATTACCTAAATTGAATTGGGGCGACATAAGCTAATGGTTGACTATACATGATGGAAGACTGTAGAAATGTCTGTTCCAGTGGAACTCAGAATTAATCACCGGACAGTTTAGTACTATTATGAAACTCCCACAGAGTGACGTGTCTGAGTCCGTGTTTCATTTAAAGAAGTATAGAGTGACATGCTTCTTTGCCCTTGAATTCAGAGTTTCTTTTTAAATCATACATATTTCCATTAAATTGTATTCAGCACCATCTATACCAGTGGTTCTCAACCTTCCTAATGCCGCGACCCTTTAATACAGTTCCTGATGTTGTGTTGACCCCCAACCATAAAATTATTTTTGTTGCTACTTCATAACTGTAATTTTGCTACTGTTATGTCTTAGGCGACCCCTGTGAAAGGGTTGTTCGACCCCCAAAGGGGTCGCGACCCACAGGTTGGGAACCGCTGATCTATATACACTTATTATCTCAAACATTTACTACTGTTTTCTAACCCATTTGGTTAGAAAGTATTTTCAACTTGTACACAATGAATTCCTCATTTCTGTTGCTGATTGTAACAATTCAAATATCAATTAGAATTATTCACAGCTCTTATGTTAATATAAATGTTAGTAACAATGGAATTGATTTTCTCAAAACACTGTCACAGGAGGCTTTTTCTAAAGGGGAGAAATTTAATATCGATTCGAGTGTCTTATGGCTGTGCAAAGTATTTGCACATTGGATATTTTCTTTTCTGTTCCTCCTACAAGTGGTGGTCCCTGTGGACACAGACAGGAACAGTGCTACAGGTATCCAGTTTTTGTTGGTTTGAAATAACAAAACTAAACATGCTGAATGTAATGTAAGATAGTGGGGGAACTTGATAACTTTTTAGTGAATAAGTGAGTAAGATGATGGGTGAATGGATACTGAGATTTCTTCATATTCATGTGGAGTCCACTATGAAATAGGTAAGCTCCTTAAGCACAAAACAGAATCTTTAGTTCTATTGTTGTATTAAAAACCTTATGTTGGCCCTGGCCGGTTTGGCTCAGCGGTTAGAGCGTCGGCCTGCGGTCCTGAGAGACCCGGGTTCGGTTCCCGCTAAGGGCGCGTACCTCGGTTGCAGTTTGTCCCCGGCCCTGGTCGGTTGTGTGGGTGGCAGCCACTCGATGTGTTCCTTTCACATCGATGTTTCTCTCTCTCTCTCTCTCTCTCTCTCTCTGTTCCTCTCTCTCCCTCCCACTCTACCTGAACAAAAAATGGAAAAATGTCCTCGGGTGAGGATAAAAAAAAAAAAAAATCCTTAAGTTGTATGAAGACTTTGCTATAAAATTATCTCTAAGCAGATAATTTAGATAATTTTAGGGATTTAGTATTAGACTAGGCTCCTGTTCCATTTTAGGGAATTTACTTACTAGAGTGATAAAACATGTATATGAATGTGGTATCACTTCTGAGACATGAATCCTAAAGATAATATTAGTAGAAGGTTCCAGAATCTATATAAAGTACTATTTTTTTTCAAAAAGTTATTTTTCAAGGCTCTCACCAGCAGAAATTTATTTTTTACTTCACAAGTACATACATCGAGGCAAAAAGTTAAGTAACATTTGTATTTTGACAGTAGGATGGGAAGTGAGATATACTCATGTAAGAATGTTATTCATTAAATAAAAAGCATGATTAGACATTTAAGGATCAACACAGTTTTAAATAGAAGCCATATATGTACACATGTATAGAGGTGTAGCTTTAAGAACATAGTAAGTTGATCCTCATGTATCCATCACCTAAATTAAGAAACAGATGTGGCCTGGCCAGTGTGGCTCAGTGGATTGAACGTCATCCCATGGACTGAGAGGTCCTGGTTTGATTCTCAGTCAGGGCACATGCCATGGTAGCAGGCTTGATCCCCCGTGGGGGCCATGCAGGAGGCAGCCAATCAATGTTTCTTTCTCATAGATGTTTCTCTCTCTCCCTTTCTCTCTCTAAAAAAAAAATCGATAATAATAATAATAAAAAAGATGTGACTAGTACACCTGAAATTAATGTAATATTGTATGTCAACTGTAATTGAAAAATAAATTTTAAGAAATAGGCATGACCAATACTCAGGAAGCTCCCACATGCCCTGCTCAAGTCACGTTCCCTCCCACACCAAGGTAACTCCTCTCCTGAATCTTGTGTTTTGTCCTTTCCTTGCTTATATCATGTTAGTTTAGTGTGATATTGGGCTTTACATAAATGAAATCATACTGCGCATATTCTGCTGTGATTTTTTTCTTTCAAGATTATGATTCTGAGGTTCATAGACAGACACAAAGTTAGAGTTCATTTCCATTGCTGTTTTATTTTTTATTGCTTGAACACAACCCACTTTTTTGGTTCACTGTCCTAATGAAATTAGATATTTTAAATTTGTTTCCAAATAGGAAATGTTCATTCATTTCACTATAATTGTTAAAAAAAAATGATAATCAAATAATTCCATTATGTTTATTATTGCTTTTTGTCAGAATTATATTTGCCAAACACTTCTAAAGTCCTGTTCTATATGCATAGAGAGCAGAAACTAAAGTCAGTGTTTCTGTCATCTCTGTGGGCCGATTAAACTTCACAGTAACCTAGATCCTGTCCCTGCCCATTTGCAACCCATCTGCATTGTTCTGCTGTTTAATAACATTATTATTTCCTTTGTTTTTACAGCTTTTGCATTCCTGTACGAAATCTTTTCCCATTAAGCAGACATATTGGCAAGATTTTGGTACAGATAGTGGCTTCCTAGCCATACACTCAAGTGTTTCTGTTAATAGGTCTGGCATCATTCATGAGGCATGCAAACCTAGTGCTAGACTGGTCACTGAGAGAGGGCAGAGTCGATGGATACATAAACCACTCTGATTCCTGCACATCCCCCAAAGTTCATTTCTTATGGCAGCAGGACACCATTTGGCAAACCCTCCCTAGTGGAACTGCATCAACCTGGCCAGCTTAGCCAGTGGCTGAGGCTGATAGAACAAAAAAAAAGAAAGAACGAAAAGGAAATACTTTCTTCTCCTTTTTTTTTTTTGCATTTATCTTCAGACAGAGCGGGAGGGAGAGAGGTGGAAAAAAGAGAGAGAAACATCGATGCGAAAGGGACACATCGAGTGGTCACCACACACCCAATCCCAACCGGGCCGGGGACAAACCGCAACCAAGGCACGTGCCCCCAGCGGGAACCGAACCCGAGACTCTCCGGTCCGCAGGCCAACGCCCTAACCGCTGAACCAAACTGGCCAGGGCTTCTTTTTTTTAATCCTATTGCATTCATTTAAACTTGGATTAAAATTTATATTGAGAAAGGAAATTTTGTTTATTTAGTTTACAAATTGCCTTAGTATTCAAAGTACATTAAAAAGTAACAGAGTCTACATGTACACAATTTCTATGTAGTTGAGCACTAAGGGCCAAGGTAGTTTTGACTTGTCTTAGGGCTGCTGGAGTTGAATCCAGAGACCGGCTTCACCCTGATACCCTGCAGTCCCAGCTCAGATGATAAGTCACTGATAATCCTTGTCTTCTGCTAGGGACATGTGTTTAGTTAATGGCCATAGCCTTAGCTCTATAGGGGTGCCTTTATCATGGTAGGCACTAGAAATTATTTATTAAATGAATGAACTGAGGGCCCTAAGCAGAACTTGTTTGACATGTTTTTGTGATGAGAGGATTATAAAAGTGGGCTTTGAACTTGATGTCACTGTAATTGCAGGGAATGCCTTGTATCCTGCTGTGATTGCTACTAGTTTTTAGCTTACTGACGTTCCTGGGGGGAAACCAGGGCAGGAACACAGTACATGCTCGGGTCATGCATTGCATTCAACAAATTCTGTGATGGGGATTGGGAAAATGTGACATACTGTGAGATCCTGTGGAGTTTAACAATTTTCTGTAGAGTTAACCAATCATAGTATATATTGAAAATGCACTGTTAGTGTTTGATGATGATGATGATGATGATAAGATTGATGCCAAGGTTTCTTTTAAAGTACTGTGGTTTCCCTTGCCTGGCTGGTGTGGCACAGTGGATTGAGTGTCCTCCCATGGACTGAGAGGTCCCAGTTCGATTCCCCATCAGGGCACATGGCCAGGTTTCGGGTTCAATCCCCAGTGGGGGACGTGCAGGAAGCAGCTGATCAATGTTTGTTTCTCACATTGATGTTTCTGTCTCTCTCTTCCTTCCTTTCTAAAAAAAAATCAATAAAAACATTTTTTGAAGAAAGTACTGTATCTTCCCTATCCTTAAGCTTTGAAGTGTTTCTAACAAGTCCCATGGGGCCCTGTATGACCTCATCCACTTGCTACTTTCTCAGCTTCACCCAATGATATTCTTCTGGCTCTCTCTGCGGGAACCACACTAGGGGTCAGAATAGTGCTTTTAGCTCCTCCTCACTGCAGGTCCTTCGGGTATATTGTACATTGTTCTTTCTGGAACTCTCTGAGCCCTTATGGTAAACTCCTGCTAATCTAGATTTTAGCTTCAAGTGACTTCTTCAGAGAAGATGTCCCAATGACTCTACCTGTACCTCTCCCTCAGCCTATATCTTGTTGTAACTGGGTAATTATGTAGCTAGTGGTGTAGCCTGTGTTTATTCTCTTGGCATTTGAGCTTTGGTAGGCAGACGTCTGGCTTGTTTACTTCTGCACAGGACTTTTCCAGACAGTGTTGCCAACTGTATGTGCTCAATAAATATTTGCTGGAGCAATGAATGTCAAATCATCCAGTTAATTTTGTTTGTTTGTTTGTTTTCTTCTTCTCTCTTCAGTTGGGAAGTTATAAATTCCAAGCCAGATGAAAGACCCAGACTCAGCCACTGCATTGCAGAATCATGGATGAATTTCAGCATATTTCTTCAAGAAATGTCTCTTTTCAAACAGCAGAGCCCTGGCAAGGCAAGTTTTCCAGCACAGGAGAATTACTGTGCGTGCTTTAAAATGTGCAGTAAACCTAGAAACACATGAATTAACTTATTTTATTAGCTGTGAGTGTTCTTCAAGTCAGAACATAATCTACTAGGAACACAAGCCATAACAGCTGACGTCAGCAGGGCTCGGAATCGTTACGTGTTAGCACTAGAACAACTTTAACCTCATATTTTGAAATTGGACTGGTTTTCTATTTTTATACATATTTATCCACATGCTTAATTAAAATGAATGGTGATTGGTCTTGTCATCCAGACCAAGAAGAAAAACTATCTTATTAAGATGCCAGTTTATAGTGTTCAGCCTGGTTCTGAAGTCAAAGGGAGATGAAATGGACACGTCGTCCATGAAGGGGCTTTTGGAGATAATTGGGTCTCACTTTTAATCGAAGAAGTGGAGTTTCTTATATTATCTATTTAAGAAATAAAACCTTTGGCAAAAATATTCATAGTGATTATCTAAGTGGAATGGGTCTTTTTCTAAGTAAGATGAAAACCTATGAGAAGAGTCATAAGTGGTTTGAAGGGGTTACATGGAGAAGCACACACACTTGTATTAGTTTTGTGTGTAGAGGCAGCTTCAGATGTGATCCTGATAGCAAGGGGGAGGTGCAGGGCCATCCTCGGACCCTGTCCCTTGCAGTTTTGTGTTCAAGTCTCTTGAACATCCACCAGTAGTTGGAAGATCCTAGGAATGTTGGTGTTTCCAGTCCCTCTGGTGGTACCATGCACAGGCACTCTTAACTTCAGTTCCGGGGCTACATAATCCAACTATGCTTGGACACATTTTGAGCATTTTAAAGTAGCAAGGTTACATATGGAAGGATTTTTTTTTTTTTTTAATTTTCTGTCCTCACCCAAGGACATTTTTCCATTTTTTATTCAGACAGAGCAGGAGGGAGAGAGAATAAGAGAGAGAGAGAGAAACATCAATGTGAAGGGGACACATCGAGTGGCTGCCACCCGCACGACCCAACCAGGGCTGGGGACAAACTGCAACCCAAGCACATGCTCTTAGCGGGAACTGAACCCTGGTCTCTCTGGTCCATGGGCTGACGCTCTAACCGCTGAGCCAAACTGGCCAGGGCACCAGTTCTCCTTTTGACTTAATAAATAAACCCAGTGCCAAAGAATGAAAAATCAAAGTTAATCTGGTGTGAAGCCCCCCTGCCTTGCTCTTCCTCTTCTCAGTTAGTGATGGGTTGCAAATGCCTTATTCACGTGTCTGTTTCAAATTTCCTTATTTTCTTTGCTTCTTAGTTTAATTTAATATCATAATTTAAAGATAAAGCAAAAGAAGTAAGATAGTTTCTTTTTAAGATTAGAGTGTAGAGCCCTGGCCAATTTGGCTCAGCGGTTAGAGCGTTGGCCCGTGGACCAGAGAGTCCCAGGTTCGGTTCCCTCTAAAGGCACGTACCTCAGTTGTAGTTTGTCCCTGGCCCTGGTTGGGGTCGTATGGGTGGCAGCCACTCACTGTGTCTCTCTCACGTCGATGTTTCTCTCTCTCTCTTCCTCCCTCTCTCCCTCCCGCTCTGTCTGAAGATAAATGCAAAAATGTCCTTGGGTGAGGATAAAAAAAAAAAAAAAAGATTAGAGTGTGGAAAATATGTGAAGACTTTATAGGAGAATTTATCTTTGTTTAAATTTTTTAAAACAAACAAGATTTGGGGGTGGGGGGCTGGTTGATGACTGACAAAAGGAGAATAATCACACTTCAGTGGGAATTGCATTTCACCTGCAGTTAGTTTCTAGGTGAGGTAGCAGTGGGGTCAGTTTGATAGTTAGGGAGGAGGGTAGTGACGGCCAATAGAGTTATCTCAGGAGCTCAGCAACTGTGCAGATTATCATGACATTTACAGAAATGCCTCTAGTTTCTGTAACATGTTTTGCTGTGTTTATGTATTTCTGTGGGCTTATAGAAGGAGTTTGAACTTTCAGGTTTAGTTGCTGGGCTGCTTTATATTCAGTGAGTAACCCTAAGTAAAAGAACTTTCTGGGGGCATATAAATCTTCAGTCCTCTGGCATCCGGCACTCACACAGCCACAGCACGATTAATGGGAGCCAGTGTGCTCTGTGCCAGAACTTAGCTTCTGGACCGTCACAATGATTACCACCAACTGTGAAAATGGACTAAGGCTGGTTGAACACTGGCAGTCATTAGTCAGAACTTAGGGCAAAAGAACACTGAAAAACATCTGCCATAATGGAACAGATCACATATAGAAAAATAACTGTGCATGTATGCTGCACTCTAAAATGTGTTGGTGTTATGCATACTTTTCACGTTCTCTCTCTGATTTCTAGTTTTGTCTCCTGGTCTGCAGTGTGTGCACGTTTTTTATGATCTTAGGAAGTTACATTCCTGGGGTTATACTCAGCTATCTACTCTGTAAGTATAGTAGAACATCTGGCTAGTTTATGTGGTACACGTGGTATCATTTAATGGTCAACGAGACCATCTGTAGTTTGGAAGAGGAGGGATGCGTTCTTAATTATAAAGAAAGTTGATTATTCTTTCATTTCCACATGTGCAAAGTTTCTCCTTTTCCTTGAGATCTGTTTATACTTTAAAGTTGGGAGAATAAACATAGGAGTACATATATTCTTTTGTGTTAGTGTTTCAGGTTTCTTCAGATATAGTCCCAGGAGTGGAATCACTGGGATATAAGGCAGTTCCATTTTTAATATTTTGAGGTAACTCCATACTGCTTTCCACAGTGGCTGCACCAATCTGCATTCTCACCACTAGGGAGGGTTCCCTTTTCTCCACATCCTCGCCAACACTTGTTGTTTATGGATAACCATTCTAGCAGGTGTGAGGTGAGTGAAAATTTGGAAGCAGCCCAAGTGCCGATCAGTAGATGAATGAATAAAAAAGCTGTGGTACATTTATACAATAGAATACTACTCAGCCATAAAAGAGAAGGAAACCTTACTTTTTATGACAGCATGGATGGGCCTGGAAAGTATTATGCTTAGCGAAATAAGCCAGTCAGAGAAAGATAAGTACCATGTGATTTTACTTACATGTGGAATGTAATGAACATAAACTAACAAACAAAATAGAAACAGACTCATAGATATAGAGAATAGACTGACGGCTGTCAGAGGGGAGGGCGACTGAGGGAGGGGCTAGGTGAAAAGGTGAAGAGATTAAGTAAAAAAACTCACACACACAATAGTACGGTGATTCCCAGAGGGGAAAGGGGGTGGGGAGAACAAGGAAAGGGTGAAGGGGGAATGAATGGTGAAGAAAGAAGACTTGGCAAAGTGGTGAACACACAGTATAACATAAAGATGATTCATTATAGAATTGTACACCTGAAACCTATAATTTTATTAACCCGTGTCACCCCAATAAATTCAGTTTAAAAATAATAAAGTTGGAAGAATAGTTGCAGGATTATAAGTGATTAATTTTATTTTAAATTATATCTTAAAACTATAAATAAGCTATACTCCCCACCTCCACAGACACATGAATACCCTTGCCCTTGTACATGTTCTGTGGTTCAAAAAAAAAAAAAAAAAAAAGAAAAAAGAAAGAAAGTTAAAACCACAATGAGACACCATTACACCAGAATGGCTAAAATTAAAAATGCTGATCACATCAAGCATTAGCAGGGATATGGAGCAACTGGAATACTCACATACTGTTGGTGGGTAAGTAGAATGGTACAACCACTTTGGATAACAGTTTGGCAGTTTCTTAAAAACTATGTATCTCAGCCATTCCACAGCTAGGTGTTTACCCAAGAAAAATGAAAGTATTTTTCTGCAAAAGACTCGTACATGAATGTCCATAGCAGCTTTATTTGTGGTAGCCAAAAATGGAACACAATCCATATATGTCCATCAAAAGACATATGGATAAACAAACTCTGGTATATTCGTATAATGATTTTTACTCAGCACAAAAGAATTAATATATGCAGCAAGCTAGATAAATCTCAACATAATTAGATTGAGTGTGAGAAGCCAGATTTTTTAAAAAAGAGTACATACTGTCTGATTTTATTTCTGTATAATTCAAACTAATTTTTAGTGACAAAGCAGACCAGTGGTTGCCTGGGGATGAGATAGGAGAGCAGAGAAACACAGGAGGAAAGGATTAATAAAAACATGTGGAAACTTGGAGGTGGTAGATATGTTCACTGTCTTGATTGTTGTGATGGTTTCTTAGTTGTATGCATGGGTGAAAACTTATATTGTACACTTTAAATATTTGCAATTTACTGTACATGAACTATAATTCAGAAATTCTGCAGAAAAGTGTAGATTTCCTGCTTCTCCTGAAAAATACCTAGGGCTGCTACCTTGAGATGGTATGGGCATGCTCCACTTAACCTACCCTCATATGTCCCTATTTTTCTCACACCAGCTTTTAAAATTTACACATAACCACCTTGGCTGCTAGAGGTTTTTGAGTTTGCAGCTCCTATTTAAAAGGTAAATAGGCTTGTTTCCTGACAAAAATAGAGAAATAAATATCAGGGAAGACAAGAAGACCTTTGTTTCTTTTTGTATTCCTGATGCAAACCCAGATGGCAAATGGTCCAGGCTCAGACCCATTCTCCCAAATAGAACTCAAGTAGAGTATCAGCCCCTGGATCTGCCTTGTTCAGCAGGGGGAGGAGGAGAGAGCCAGAAGAGCGAAGTCTGATATGGGCAAGGCGTTATTAGTCAGATGGTTTGTATTCATCTCAGTTATCCTTCACAACAGCCCCCAAATAATGTTATTATTCCAATATGACTGATGAGAGGCAAGTAGATAATAACTTTCCCATGGTGCAATGCATTTAACAAAGTAGAGATTTTAATCCAGGCCAGTTATCTGGAAAGCGTGGAATCCTTGTTTAAATTTGGAGGATAAAAGGAATGAAGGGAAGGAGCTGATCTAATAATTGCAAGTCTTTGAAAACAATGATTATAATAAATGTGTGTGTGTGTGTGTGCGTGCGCACGTGTGCGTGTGCCCATGCATATAGGAATAAATGTTTTTATTACAGGGAGAAAAATTCAAATTATGAACTTATATCACAAGAGCATTTCCCTAAGAAAAAACTTCTGTTTGTCAGTAAGGGAGCTGAAATATTTTTGTGAACTACAAAGATGTAGCCTTTTGAAATAAAGATCATCTTACCCACACTCTCTTCCTTCTTATATTTCAGTACTGTGTGCATTTTTGTGTCCACTGTTTAAGTGTAATGATATGGGACAAAAACTGTACAGCAAAATCAAGTCAGTTCTGCTGAAACTAGATTTTGGAATTGGAGAATATATTAACCAGAAAAAACGTGAGAGATCTGGTAGGTAAAGTTTGACTTTTAGACTCCACACATGAAATGAGACCTCCATGGGTTATTTATTATGACATTACCTTCAGTACATTGTAGAGTATTTTAGCCTTTTACAGCATATTATCACAGAAGCTCATCTACTCCCCCACCCAAAGTAACATTGCCTTTTCCTATTTAGGCTTTTAGTCCTTTCTGAAACATACAATAAATTGACTTTTTAATTAAATTGTCAGGGGAGGGAGAAAAGGATTCAATCATTCTATATTTGCTACTTCTGATTTACTTTCTTTAATTTTCTTTACTTTTGGGTAAGCTATTGAGAATGAAAAATGACTAAGAGTGTGGAAACTATATAAGAGACACCAAAAGAATGGGAAGGGAAATAAAATACGCAGAAGGAAAACTAATGTGATCAATTTCACTTTTTAACCTGTCCTATGACCTTATAGGTTCTCAGACTAGCGAGCATCACAACTGCCTGGAAGGCTTATGGGAGCACAGACTGCTGGGCCACCCCAGAGCTTCTATCAGTTGGTCTAGGGTAGGGCCTGAGAATTTGCATTTTTAACAAAGTTCCAGTGGTGCTGATGCTACTGGTCAGGGGCCACACTGCGAGAACCACTGATGTAGGCCGTTTCCCTTGGAAACCAAACCTTTGCAAATATGTGGAGCTTGTTATGTGCAAACATTTAATTCAGTGGAGGCATTAAAGAACATGAGGAATGTGGGTAAGGGTATGTAATGGGTGAAATACACAAGTCTAAGCTGGCCGGGGAACTGAAAGCGTCCAAATTTTTTCTCAACAGAAGCAGACAAAGAAAAAAGTCACAAAGATGACAGTGAATTAGAGTTTTCAGCTCTTTGTCCTAAGGTATTTTTTTTGTTTAGTTTTTCAATTTGTTCCCGTGTTGTTTAACCATAAATTTATTTAAAGCAAAATGATTTTTCCAATAGACTCCTCCTATTTCTCTAAGATGATTGAACAATTCTGAAAGGAAAATACTCATCTGGTTTTTATTATTCTGACATTTTTGGTGTTAGTATGGAGTTTTCGAAAGATTTGCCACAGAAGTTTAGAATGTGCCACTGGTATTTATATTAACACAGATTAGCCTCACGGTGGCTGCCAAAGAGTTGTCTGTGTCCGACACAGACGTATCCGAGGTCTCCTGGACTGACAATGGGACCTTCAACCTTTCAGAAGGATACACTCCACAGACAGACACTTCTGACGGTATGCTCACATTTCTCTTTTTATTACTATAATAATTACCATTATGAGTGCATGCGGAAATATTTACCTGTCCACTGCTGAATGGATAAACAAAACGGGGTATATCTGTACAATGGATTTCAGTTGGCTATCCAAATGAAGTACTGATACTTGCTACAACATGAATGAACCTTGAACACATTGGGCACAATGAAAGAAGCTAGACACATAAGTCCACATATATTGTATAACCCCATTTATGTGAAATGTGCAGAACAGGCAAAGCCATGTCGATGGAAAGTAGCTGTGTGGATGCGGTGGGGATGAGAGTGACTGCTAATTAGTCTGAGTTTCTGTTTGGAGTGATGACAATGTTCTAGAATTAGATAGTGGTGATGGTTGTACAACTTTGTGAATGTATTAAAAACCACTGAATTGTATACTTAAATGGGTAAATTTTATATGAATTATATCTCAAAAGCTATTATTTTTTTTTTTAGTATGAGAAAAAACCTAAGCAAGTCAATGTCCAAACTCTGCCTTTGTTTTGAAAACAAATAAATATCGACAGTGGACAAAATTAATTTCTCCAATGTCTGGTGACATTGTTTATCACAACAGTGGGAGGCAGGAAAGAGAGGCGCTAACCCTGCAGACCCAGGGCTCGTCCTCATTCACAGGGCCTGAGGCATGGAGGGAGAGTTCCCCAAATCCAGAGCTCACTCCAAGGTTTCTCATGTTTTTCTTCGAAGTTAGTTTCAAAATAAAAAACTCTCTCTTTTTTTTTTTTTTAAATCAGGTTAAATAAATTTAAAATAAAGTGAGAGACAACTCTAGTGCAGTAACTTCAGCTAGTTTCATTGGATTATTTCAAGTCATCTTAGCTATATACTGAAAATATGAGCAGGTTATAATGGAGGATTATAAATAAATTGTCTTCTATGTACTTTTACAAGCAAGAACACGTTTTCTTTTTCTAGAGGAAGAAGGGAGGCTGTGCAGGGTTTGAAAGGAGACATAGTTGGGGACTGGGACACCCAGGTGTTGGCTTGTCTTTGTAATTAGCTAACTATATGACCTTAAACAGGTGACAGTACTTGTGTAAATCAGTTTACTCATCATTAAAGGGCATTAGAACAAGAGTTTCACTGAAGTCTATAAGCGCTAAATATCCACAAGACCTGGATAACACACACTTTGTTTTACAGCATCCCATTTCAGAGTCACACAATGGAAGGACAGTGATAACCCAACCCACACATGAGACTTTTCAGTAATGAAACTGAAGATTTCAAATCACTGTTATAAAGAGTTAATCATTATACTGAAAGATTTTCTATGAAAAGTGAAAAACGATAAAATCACTGTCTGCCTGTGAACCTGGCATGGCTTTCAGTTGGCCCAAATCTTCCAAGTGTTCCTATATTATTCAGGGCATGCATTTGGTTAACGTGGTATGATTAACTTCAGCTATTTTTATGTAAAGTCAAATGATTCCATATGCTCTGAGGTTAAATATGGAATAGAAGGAGCAATAGCTTCTTCTAATTCATTGCTTTAAACAAATACAGGTTGCAGATGCTCAGATAGATCTCCATAGATGAACATGCTGAGGTTGGGTAGTATTCCCCATCTGCTGTACCAGATACCATGAAAATCTCCAAATGCAATATTTTCTATTCTGTGATCACACATATTCACATTGGCTCAAACTAATTTCTTCCCCAGGGACAGGATGGAATTTCTGTTTCTGGTGAACATTTAAACTTTAGTCAAAGCCTCCAGCTAACGTTAGACAGGTTGACTATTAAGTCATTACGTACACGGCTTTGTGCTTACAAGGAAAGTTAAAGATGCAGGGGTCATGTAGTATTCGTGTACTTGCAGAGAGATGGTGTCCCAGATTTGGGAGGAGTCCTGTACATGTTGTTAAGTTGAATTAAACTGAACCAGGGTCACCTGGAGGGTTCAGATTAAAATCAGATATCTTTTAGACAGTTCTTTTATTTCAAATTTGTGATGGTGCTTAAGCATGAACTTCTGTTGTACATTTCACAGATCTTGACAGACCTAATGAGGAAGTTTTCTCTCGAGGCCTTTCAGATTTTCCATCTCTAGAAAATGGCATGGGAACAAACGATGAAGATGAATTAAGCCTTGGCTTGCCCACTGAGCTCAAGAGAAAAAAGGAACAGTTGGACAGTGGTCCCAGACCCAGCAAAGATAGGCCATCACCTGCGGGTCTCACTCTTCCTCTGAGCAGTGACCAAACCTCTCAGTTGATGAGCAACCTGGCTGGGGATGTCATCACAGCTGCAGTGACTGCTGCTATCAAAGACCAGCTAGAGGGTGTGCAGCAAGCCCTTGTTCAGGCTGCACCCAGCCCGGGAGAGGAAACAGACACCGAAGAAGGTGATGACTTTGAACTCCTTGACCAATCAGAGCTCGATCAAATTGAGAGTGAATTGGGACTTTCACAAGACCAGGAAGCAGAGGCACAGCAAAGTAAGAAGTCTTCCGGCTTCCTTTCAAATCTACTCGGAGGCCATTAACCTGGGAATCAGCTTTACAACAGAGCACAGATAAACTACCAAAAATTTCAAATAAGCAAAAAAAAAAAAAAAAGGAGAAAATGTTTTTGAACTGTGAGCTTTACTGATTACTTTAGATTATTTTGTCTTATTTTCCCTTCTGCAGTGAATTAATTGGATATATATCAGCTGATTGATATCTCTGATAGTTATTTTTATGTAATAAGCATGGAAATGAAAAAATATATATATATATGTACAGTTGACCCTTGAACAAATGGGTTTGAACTGTGTGGGTCCACTTATTCGTGGATTATTTTCAATAAATACTATAGATGTATTTTCTCTTCCTTATTATTTTCCTAGACATTTTTATTTTTCTAGTTTACTTTCCTGTAAGGATACAGTATATAATATATAAAATGTGTTAATCAACTGTTTATGTTATTCAGGCTTCTGATCAGTGGTAGGCTATTAGTAGTTAAGTTTTGGGGGGAGTCAAAGATATATGCAGATTTTTGCCTGTGCAGGGGGTTGGAGCTCCTAACCCCCACATTGTTCAAGGGTCAACTGTGTGTGTGTGTGTGTATATGTGTGTACATACATACATATATACACACACATATACATACATACTATGTTTTCAGAGATGAACATTAGGGGTTGTTTTTAAAGCAAAAAGAAAACAAAATTATTGAGATCCTTCCATAAGTACTCCTTACTTTTTCTACACAATTTTTCAAGCATGTAAGAACAGTTTATTGCAAGTCATTGAAATATTAACATTTAATTGTGAACACATGCTGTATTAGCCCCTTTGTTCATAGTACTTGGAAGCAGATAAATATTTTTGGTGGATTTTGTTGTAAAAAGACAAAAATTATTGAGACTTCTTTAGTGGAAGGACTTGGGAAATAACAAAAAAATGAATTTCCTAGGAAAAATTTATCAAAATATATTTAACTCCTTTGGATAAGCAGGTACATTTCCATGTTATTTCTGCAGCTGTAGATTTAGGCTTACTTGTTAATGGCACATTGACTGCCAGCGCTAGTCCCGCCGTAGGTGGTATTAATCCATAGAAAGCAAGTAATTATATATCACATAGATAGTGGTTTTGGTGTAAACAGAGATTGGGCTATGTTTTGTGATTCAATTGTCGTATATTTGTAATAGGGACATTGTGAGTGCAGGTCTGTTCTGCCTGCTCAGATCCAAGTCAAGCCCTCATCTGTGCTATAGTGTCATGGAAAAAAAAAATCTCTTAAAATCATGAAACTAGTTCCTGGTCTGTTCTGTGAGTGATGTGGTCATCAGCAGTTGAGAAAAATAACTGTTTTTGTAGTCTGGATAGATTCTCCTATAGGAGAAAAACTTGCTTGACTTTCAAGTGTATTTATTTGCCACTGAAGTCTAAATATTTAATGTTTCTCATCGGGAAGCTAAAATATATTTTTCCATTATTTTAAACTTTTCAGATCTCCTTTAAATAACCAAACTTGACTTGGGTTTTTAACAAAGGACTAAAGAGCAGAAATCAAGCTAATTTTGTTCTTGCGATGTAATTTTAACAGTGTTGAGGGACCATGTCGGCAATACCAACAACCTCTTCTGTCTTCAGGTACAGCTGGCATTACTACAGATATATCCAGACATCTGAGACCCTCAGAAAGCAAGGACAATCCAAGAACATAGGAAATCTCTGGTCCCCTTTGCTTTGTCCCTTTCCTTATATTTCTGAGGAGTAATTATAAGTAATCTGACATTTTAATGAAGCATCTTATTTATTTTTTTTCTTTCTGAGGTATTAAAATATCTAGACTGCATTTTGCCAAATGTTAAAGGGAGAGAAGTTACTGAAGACTCTGAACACCTGCTTTTTGTGATTGACTATGCTTATGTGTCATAGTGCCTCATGACTGTGTTTGATGTCCTTTATTGATCAAAGTGAGACTGTGCCTTCATTATCTTGCCCATTTTGGTACAAATGAAAATTTGGTGTTAGATCTATGACTGTGTGCGTTTTGGAGGAAAATACCTGAATTCTATTCAATAAGAGTTTCTGGACATTAAGAAAAATACAGTCACATATTTATAAAATAGTTGTGACCAGGATTCTTTTTTATTTTTTATGTGTATGTTTCTTCATTTAAAAAATGTTTTTGGCCATAAAGTCAAAAAGTTTAAAGGTCATTTCCATTTCTTCATTGAGGGGAAAATAAGTTAAATAATCCAAGTAATTAAAGAATGTGTTACAAGTCAGTGGACAAGCTTACAAGAGAAGAAGACTCAAGAGTTGATGGTATGAACAGTGCACTAGAATCAAATGTTATCAACTATAAATCAAAAAGGTCTTAGGGATGAGGACAGGAGAGAGTAGAAAAATGTGTTACCAGCACTGTGGAGGAGATATACCAACTCTCTATGGACAGTGACATTATAGCCATATATATACTTCAATATTATTTGTTCAAGAATATAATTACAAATTTACACAATGTAATTAATAATGGTGTTCTTAATTCAAACAAACAGAGAAGTCGAGGTTTTTTTTTGTTTTGTGTGTGTCTGGGTTTTTTTTGTTTGTTTTTAGGTGGGAGAACATTATATATAATCTTGTTTTCAATTTTAAGATATAGTAACAATAAATCCTGTGATTGATCCCGTATAGTCGGGGACTATTTATTTACCATGAGGATTTATGCAAGTCATTAACATTTGAAGCGTGGATTTTTTTTTTTATTATAGAGGAGTTGTAGGAAAATGTTTTGCTCATAACCTGTAGAAAATGCTGAGCAAAATCATACAATGAGAATAGCATATATCGATCACCCATTTTGATCTGAAACAATAAAGCAGGGCCCAAGAAGTCAAATTTGCTTTGGAAGGTCAACCCAGGGTTAAAGCAGTGTTTGTATTCTCATTCTGAAACATCTTTGCTTTCTCCTGCCCTAAAAATCTTCAAAAGTAAAATTTAAAAAATTATCCCTCTCCAGTTTAGTATTCTTTAAAAAAAAAAAAAAAAAAAAGAAATTTGTATAAGGTTTTGCAATTGGCAAACAAGCCCAACATTTTTAGGCATCTCCCCACAATATTTGAAATAAGTGCAACTTTCTTCCTTTAAAAAAAGTGGCAAATACCAGCATACTACTGATTTTAGGTAAGCAAATCTACATTTAGAAAAATATAATTTAGGATGATGTAGTCTTTACACTGCTCCAACTATATTAGTTATAAGATAGAAATGATTCTGAAAACCCTTACTAAACTGTTGTCATAGGTCATTCATTATCTTGATGAAGTTAGAAAGTCTTAGAACTATATTTTTTTGTATTGTTCCTTCATTTCCACCAAAGCATTTCACTTAGGTTGGAATGTCAGAAGTATGAGTTCTGGTTCTGATGTTAATATTGTGGCCCTAAAACACAATATCAAAGTCATATAACACCCCCAGACTACCACCTCAATATCCCCAAACATAAAATCAGGAAGCTAATTCTTATCTTTTCAGACAGGGATGTTTTGAGAATGAATGAAAAGCATATGAAACACTTTCAGGGGATAAAACAGCTGTATAAAACCAAGATAGTGATTTTTTTCTCGTCTGTGTTTCAACTAAGCCATCTTTTTAAACATGAAAACAAAGTCAAATAGTAAGTACCTGCTTAAAGAAAACTCAACATTTCTTTTAATGGGCCTATCACGTTATTGGCATCATAAGCCAATAAATGTTATGGAATAAACGCTGAAAAGTTTTGCAAAAATGTCTATTATTTTAGTTGACACTGGACCATGTGTGGGATTCTACACTAGTCATTTTTAACAGTTTTAACACTTACTGGCTGTGGGACTCTTAAATCACCTAACATCTCTATGCCTGTTTCCTTTATCTATAAAATTAAGATATAAACCTACCTCATAATATGTTATGAGGACTAAGAGTCTAAGACTGGGGTTGGCAAACTATGGCCCATAGCCCAAATCTGGCCTGCAACTTGTTTTTGTATGGATTACCAGCTAATGATATTTTTTTTTACATTTTTAAATAGTTGAAATATATCAGAATATAATGACATGTGAAAAATATATGAGATTCAAGATTCAGCATTCATAAAGTTTTATCAGAACATGCCACGACTCATTTAGGTGCGGCCTATGGCTACGTTCATACTATAACAGAAAAGTTGAGGTTGTGACAGAGAACATAGGCCTACAAAGGCTAAAATATTTACTGTTTGACCCTTTACAGGATAAGTTTGCCAATCCTTAGTCTAATACACAGAACACACTCAAGTACAGTTAGGATTGTGTGTAATTTTCATGACTCTACCATTAAGTGGGAGTAAGAGCATTTTTTCAGAAGGATGAGGTTAAATTGCCCAAAGTCACAAAACCAGTTTGACTCCAATGCCTATTTTCTTTCTAATGTCATATTACCTAATGTTTTAAAAAATATATTAAGAATGATTATAATTTTAAATAGTTTAACAGATTTTAAATATTAAACACTGCTTTTGTTCGATTTCAATTAATTCTCCCCCCCCTCCCCCCCCGTTTTAGGGGCTGTGATAACCAGGTTTTCCTGCAAAGTCCAATTCCTTGGTCATTTAAAAACAAAACTTTGCATATCCAGAAGCTAAGAGGTAGTAAAATGTTTCAAAACTGTTTATTGCACGCTGCGCCTGTGCGTGGCACTGGGGGTCCGGCCGCAGCGCGAGTGCGCGCTTGCGCAGACTGCCCCCGGCCTGGGGGGCCCCTTCAACCCCAGGAGACATTGCTGGGTGGGAGTTGTTTATTGAAAACCACAATACTTAACATTTTTTAAAGAACACAGAATCCATAGAAATTGTAACCCACTTATTCAATGTATGTTAGTTTATAGTTTATATTTGTTACCCCTGAAGGTAACCTTAACCAACCCTATCTCCTTTACAGTTTTCCTTTTAAGAGACAAGTTGCCACTGCAACAGAGGAATGTGAACAGTAGTACCCCCTCAAACAAGCAAATATTGTGATCACTATATCAATTGATTTGACTCTGACCTTATTAACTTTTGAAAATTTTGTTATGATCAAAAATCACCATCGCAACAT